GTGGTAGAAATCTGCTGGTTTTGGCCTGGAGGGGAAGTGGAGGACAGGTTTGACAACTGTGTGACCTTCATGAATCTTCATGGAGATGCAAAGGAACATAAAAGGCAGCTCACTTTTCTGAAGGAGGTCTCTTCTCTCATTGTGGTCCTCATGTCAGCTTCTGATGACAACAAACAAAACCAAAAAATTGTTCGTGACCTATGTCAGTCATCAAGATCATTGATCTGCTTGCTAGATGACAAAGAAAAATCCAAACCTAGTAGTTCTGGTACAAGAGTGAAAATAGGCCTGAGGAACAGAAATGAGGCAGAATTGACAAAGGAGCTCACAACTACCATCAGACGTTTGCTAGAGCTCTCTGACACAGCTCTCAGCCTAGAGGACTGTTCTCAAATTGCTCGCCAGCAAGGATTTCTTATTGATGAAGACCAGAGAGATTGTAAGGAGGGCAAAGAAAAGGCACAGATTATAATGGCTCTTTTAAGAGAAACAGAGTTGTCTGAGGTGAAGGAAACCTTCCTACCACTTCAGGGACAACTGTGGCAACTTTGGTGTAGAAAGGACAAAGAACTTTACCATCTGAGAGAGAAGGGAAATCGAAGCATTGAACAACACAAGAGTGAGCTTGAGTCAGAAAAACAAATAATTCGGCAACAACAGGTGCAAAGAGCTTTTCCTCTCAATGATGTAATGTTCTCTGTGCTTCAAATTCTCCACAGCTATTCAGAAACTCACACCACACTCTACTTCTTGCAATGGATGAGTGTGTTTTTAGATAAGTTGACTGAAGAGCATTTGGAGAACCTACATGAAAAAGTAATTCATTTATGGTCAATTGTGAAAACAGAAAAGCAAAGCTCCCAAAGCATGAACTCTTTGGAACTCTGCCAAAAGAAGATTAGTGACTATACCTTAGGTATTGAGCAATTTCTCAGAGAAGTTGGTCAGATCTATGAAGCTCTGGAAGAAACTTCCTCCACAAATGATATAGTTTTTCTCTTCCTTCCCCAAATTGCTGCAGACCTGATGATAGCTGGTGTCCCCATAGAGCTGATGGATGGAGATGCTTCTTATGTGCCCCTAAAGTGGGTGGCAGCTGTTTTTGACAAGCTCTCTGAGAAACTTGGAGACAAACGGCTCTTTGTTCTCTCTGTCCTTGGCCTGCAGAGCTCTGGGAAGTCCACCCTACTGAATGCTCTTTTTGGGCTGCAGTTCAGTGTAAGTGCAGGCAGGTGTACTAAAGGGGCCTACATGCAGCTCCTAAAGGTAGATGAGACATCCACAGAGGAACTTGGCTTTGACTTTGTGCTGGTTGTAGACACAGAAGGACTTCGGGCCCCAGAACTCAGCAACAAATCCCAGAACTGGGACAACGAGTTAGCCACCTTTGTCACTGGGCTTGCAAACTTGACTCTGATCAATATATTTGGGGAGAATCCATCAGAAATGCAAGATATCCTACAGATAGTAGTCCAAGCCTTTCTGAGGATGAAACAAGTGAAAATTTCCCCCAGGTGCATATTCATACATCAGAATGTAGGAGAAGTTACAGCTAAAGACCAAACTACAGAAGGACGAAGGCGGTTAGAGCAGAGGCTAGATGAAATGACAGCACTGGCTGCTAAACAAGAAGAATGCTCAGATGTCACTCACTTCAGTGATGTCATCAATTTTGATGTCAATACTCATGTGTACTACTTTGCTCACCTCTGGGATGGCAATCCCCCCATGGCCCCTCCCAATCCTCGTTATAGCCACAATGTTCAGGAACTGAAAAGTGCAATTCTTTTAACTGCCAAACAGGAATCCAGGGGAAGCATCATGAAGATATCAGATGTAAACTTCAGAGTTCAAGATTTGTGGAGAGCCCTGGTAAGTGAGAACTTTATTTTCAGTTTCAGAAACACCCGAGAGGTCATGGCCATGAGCAAACTGGAAACCATGTATAACCACTGGACCTGGGAGCTCCGGAGTCACATGTTGGACTTGCAGAACCAGCTTCACAATCAGATTCAGAATAGGAAAATTCTGACACTTACAACAAGCATGATTGAGTGTCCAGTTACAGAGAAATATGAAACCATCAAGCAAGTACTTGAAAAATATTTTACTGAAGACCCAGAGAGAGAGATACTTGTCCAATGGAAAGCCTATTTTGAAAATAAGCTACTAATTCTTAAAGATTCACTTATTTCAGACACCAAGAGAAAAGCCCATGAACTTATTAGTCTCAAAAAAAATCAAGAACAACTAGAACAGAAGAAGACTGTATATGAAAATGAGTTATTGAAGAAGAGCCAAAACTTGGCTTTAAGTGTAAAAGGTAAAATTTTGAGTGATGAAGAATTATATGAGAAATTCAGTCAACTTTGGGGAAAATGGGTTTGTGAAGTGTCCTCAAATATCCCTCAAGCCACAGAGCCTAAAATTGATGTGGATGCTGAACACATCCTTTTGGAACATTTCAGAAAAGAGAAAAACATAGTAGAAAAACTAAAGAGAAATATTGGAAAGAATTTTCAGCTAGATTTTGGAAAACATGTCAAGATGTGTAAGGAATATTTCTTTCTCACAAAGAGTTTAGAGGACTGTGATAAAGTGTCCATTGATATGACTACTGATCGTATTTTTTCAAGATTTAATGAATATATTGAAAGTATTATGAATCAACAACGTGATTATGATCAAAGTGACTTCCATCAAATCCTGAGAATAATAGAAGAGGAAGGGAAATCTGAACACACCAAGAATAGATATACATTTACAAGTGAATACAACATTGAATTATCTTCATGTTTATTTCAAAAAGCAACAAAGGATTTTATGGAAAGGCATTGGGCATTTAGGAGAGCAAATGATCCTGTAAAATATCTAGAACAAAAGAAAGACGATTTTTTCATGAGTTTCAAGATCTCCTGCCAAGGTGCAACCTCCATCACATGTTTTGTTGATTTTCTGTGGCAAAAGCTCACTCCTGCGGTCTCTGCTACCATCCAGGGGAAAATGGTCCCTAGAATAGCTGGGGAGATAAGAGCCTCCTACCCTGCATTCAATGGAAACAGGTCTAACCTGGAGAAACACATTCTCATCTCTCTAGCAGAAGAAGAAAATTTTGAAAATTATTGGCAATACATTCACAATCCAAAATCATTTTGTAGGAGTTACATTGAGAACTATACCAAAAAGTACTGTTCAGACAACAGAGATAAAAAAATAAAGACTTTATTCAAAACAAGTCTTGAGGACATCAAGTATACCATCCTCTCTGCCATTCATGAAACCACAGCAGTAGCCAAAGACAGAAGCAGCACTGCATCTGGGTGGCTGGATTTGTTCTGTGATCACCTGGGGAACAACTTGATTTTCCCACGAAGAGACTTGATAAACATTGAGCACCAAGAGATAAAAGATATGGATTTTCTCAAAGAAGCCATGAGTGCAGGTTTGGATCCTGCAATGAAGAAAGTAGAACAGAACTTGTCAAGTGTGCCTATAGAAGAAATGGTTCCTGAAATTGAGAAAATCCTCTCTGAACATCTCTGTGGATGTTGGAAACAGTGTCCCTTATGTAATGCAATTTGTACAAACACAATTCCTGAACATGATGGAGACCACAGTGTTCCATTTCATCGTCCTCAGGCTGTCAGTGGAGGCAAGTGGTATAGAACAGACCACTTTGTCATTGATTGTTGTACTAGTTTAGTAGCAAGTGATTGTTTGCTTGTTTTGAGAGATGATTGTAAAATCCCATATAAGAACTATCGGCAGGCAGGAGGGGATTATGCCACATGGAGCATCACCCCGGATTCATCCACCCAGCCATATTGGAAATGGTTTGTCTGTCATTTCAGAACAAAATTGGAAGAAAAATATCAGCTAAAATTTATAAATAACGGTCAAATCCCCTATGAATGGAGCAAAATCACTAAGCAGGAAGTGCTTAATGACTTGAAAAAATAATCTTCAATGATCACATAAATACCTTAGCATCTGTACAAAGTCACAGTACCAAGCAACCTCAAAACATATCCTCCTTACAACTAGAGCTTTACATATTCCACTTTGAAAAGGAAATGCTTAAAAAGTGATTAAATATCAATTCAAGAATTTAAGAGTTCCTGGAAAAATACTTGATATCTCTCTGCCTCAATTCCATTTGGATTAGAAAGAAATTACTAAAATAGGAGCATATGACAAAATCCAAATATCTAGTTCCTACTTTGAAATATTGCTCTACATATTTTACAATATGTAATACCTCAGAAAAAAATCATATTCATATGGAAAATTTTAAGTCATTTCATGATACTACAAATTTATCTACAGTAACTGAATGGCTGTTGAACTAATATACATGTCTTGACAAGCAACTACAAATAAACTTTCTCTATTTCACTGAATTTTTTCACTCATTCAATCCATGAAGAAAATTTACTCACCCTTAAACACAAAAGCATTCATGGAAATTTCATGATTCCCATGTATAGTATTTTATAGGGATATTTTATTCTAGCAGAGAACAAACCAGAAACTTGACAAAGATAAAGTCTTCATCAAGTCAGGAAACATTATCAGGCAAACATAGGAAAAGGAGTTAAATAACTGCTTCATTTAATCAACATTTTCTTCTTTCTGGTTTCTTGGAACTTTTTTGTCATGCTACAAAAAGTTGAGTTATTCACAAAGTTTAGATCTTCAAAGCTGGTGTTATCTGCCTGAGATTACCTCCTGAAACAAGTGTAATGATAACCATGTAAATAGGATCCTATCCATCAAGTGTGTGGACAGGGTCAAATTAGATAAAGCCATTAATGATTATAAATACATCCCCTAAAGAAAAAACATGAAAAAATATCTACTTTTTATAAAAATTTCATAATTATTCATTAATCTTACTTGGGTTTGCACATTTTAATAAAAATTTATATTTCATGTATAAATATATACTTCATGTATAAAATGCAGAGGAGTGCTTATCTACAATGAGACATATTTTTGCTTCCTTATACTTTTTGGGTGCTAGGAAAATCACCCTTCTACAAACCTATACCTTATACTCAGATTTCAAAGCTGATGATTTAAAAGAATGCTGAGGCAAGAAGAAAATGTCCTCATTTTAGACATAAAGATACCCTTGGTTTCCATTTACTGCTGCAGGCTCTACCTATCTATGGACAGTGAAAAGACACGACCAAAGCCATGGTAGTTAAACAACATACATCTTCAGAAATGGGAGATAGGAATGCTGACTCCATCACCTTTGTCCACCACATGAAAATATATTATCAGATTCAGATCTACTGACTAGAATCTCCATAAGTTTTCTGTTTGTTTTTGCTGTAGTACTGTGGATTAAACTCTGGCATTACACATGTCAGGAAGCACATTATTACTCAACTACAGCATTTTTTTTTTAAAATTTCAGAGATGCAGTTTCATTAAGATGCAACCTGTGAGCCTCCTGCCTCAGGCTCTCAGGTTGCTGGGATTAAAGGTATCAGAAGTCTTGAAAAAAATTGTGAAGGATATAGGTGTTCTTCAACAGAATAATTTTTTTCTGAAAAATAGTCTTGGTGACAGTTGAGAAGATCTCTTAATGAGATCAACCTGATATAGTGTTGGGAACAGAAGCTCTGCACAGCATGGTGCCTGTCACACTCATAACTGCAAGCTTTGAAAAGGCTTAATGTTCAATTGACATTAGCTGAATTCTTTTTATATTGAATGAATCAATATAGCCTTCAACTAATAAGTCTCATATATTACTTTTGATTTTAAAGCCAACAATATTTTGCAAGAGTAAAAAGGCCTCTAATAAATTCCTTGGGTATGTTAACAGTGTGATTCTTACATGAGATCCCAAGGCCAAACTAGAGAGATGACAAAAATATTGGGAAGAGGTAAATTAGAATAAAAGAAGATGACTATGTAGAGATGATGTTTTGTGTGATACAATTAGGGAAAATAATCAAGATGGTGTCAGAAATGGGAGATATAATAGTGTTAGTATTTTGGGTCTCATTAAGGAAGAGACTTCAAGAACAGTGGAGCAGGGGAGAGGAGTCACTGGGGATGAAAATATCAAGATGTAGAGCACTGGGTCTGATTGAAGGTCACAAAATTAGAGTTAAATAGGTGCAAGGTTAGTAGAGGTAGGATTCTCATGGGTAGCAGAATGAGCCTCAGTCACTGAGGTGAGGAGCAGAGAAAAAGGAATTGGGGGTCACCACATGAGCAGATTTCAGATGTTCCAGTCATTAAGGCAAAGGTGCCAAGTAGCGTGGTAAAGGAATCACAAGGCCAAAAGAGATGGAGCAAGGATGGTAATGGACCTAGAAGAGTATGGAAATTCATGACAGGATGTAAGTTATTCACTTATATGTGGACTCCAAAAATGAGAACTCATAGAAATAGAGAGTAGAACGCAGGTTACCAGAGACTGAGGACAGGGTGGGGGAT